CAACAACGTACCTGTTCCTCTGGAGAACTTTAGGGAGACTGGTGTAAGTCCTTTTCCACTGAACTCTACCCCTTTGTCAGCCAATCAGAGCTATTTCACAACATAAAGTCCATACACAACTATATGTACTGAGCCCAAACATACTGTGAACATCATAGGATCATATTTCTTACTGAGCCGAAACAATTTACTGAGAAAGAACACAGCTTTTAAGTTACATCCACTTGCTTCAGGCAAGTTATTCTCCAGCTGCAGCACGTTTCCTATGACAGGCAAAGGAGGTAGCTTCCCTGTTTCAGACATCTTCCTCCATGTTGAACAGACAAGGAGGTAGACAATGCAAACCAGTCAGAAAATTATGGTGGCTTCCAGGGGTTCCATTGCAATGTGGAACAGGGATGTGGGATCAGGAAGGGCTGAAGCTGCATCCTGGATGGCTCACTTTATGAAGCCTACAGTAAAAACAAAAGTGCAAAAGTAACCAATAGCTGCTCTCATTCTCTACGGGTTAAACATACTGGTTAGAAAAAAATCACTTGCTGCCAACAAACTTGGATGAACTGCTTTAAGTCTTTGTGACCTTTTTTAAGGTCAACCTTGTTCTACTGTAATACCAGAAAGCAGGGACAAACATCAATCATTAACAAACCCTGTCATACTTTCATAGTACACTTGTCTTTTGCCTATCCCTGTTGCTTATGTTTGTTTGTTGATAAGATGCTGCAAATACAATAATGCATTTATCTTCAGGCCATTATATACACTTGTGATTAACATCTCATTGGATATCTTTTAACATTTCTATTGAACACAGAGTTCCAGGTAAAAAAGTATGCTCCATTCTAGAAGAGTTGTTTTTCAGCTGTTGGACATGTTGCAGTTTCCGCTAATGATTTAAGAGCCCATTTTGAAGACTGGACATCTCCACAAAGTACTGCTCTGAAAGTTGGTGACTTCAGAATAACATGTTAGAACAGCTCGGCAGAACTGTCTTGAGGTGCTGGGGAAAAAAAATCTTCCTCTGGAACTGAACTCTTCTGTTTCTGCTTAAAGAGCTGTATTTGCTAGGCTGATATTCACCCCCCTGGTTTGCAGTTGCAGTCCAAGTCCTCAAGAACTGCTTCAGCTCCAAAGCATGGACTCTCCAGGTGAAATGTTTGCACAGCAACCAAGTTGTGCCTCTGCTTTTGGACTATACATTTCCCCAGTATAATGCTGTTCACACACATCTAGCTATGTCTCTTCTGTGGTGCTACTCTCCAAGGACCTGCCATCCTTGCCTTGGATTCTACCAGTCACACAGAGAGCCCTCAGGTGGAGAGGGGAAACAGTTACTCAGAGACAGAACCGAGAAAACAGCTACCAGCTCTTGGCCTAACTGGGATGGCCTCTGTTGCTCAATCATCCAGCTAGTCAGGATGTCAGGTAGTCAGTCTCTAAAATTCCCTTATATATAAAGAAGTCATACAAATTCTTTATATAAATAAAGAGTCACTTGTGGGACGAGCTCCTCTTTCCATTTCTGCTTCCTGGAGGTCAGATATTTCTGAGTTTGTGAAGCAGTTTGCAATTTCTTAGCTTTTTTACCGGAAAACACCAAGTGCTAGCTGGCAATGGATGGCTAGATGCAGTCCTATCTTCAGCATTCCTGAAGGTTTTCATCTTTGTAGTTTTAAAATAGCATTGTATTTTCTATATGCCGGAAAGCACCTTTTTCAACAAGATTTGGTCCTTCGCCTTTACGGCTTTATCGTGTGCAGGTTTTCTCTGCTGACACATCGCCCTCTCGTGGCCCTCCTGCAATCCTGCCAAGGAAAGACCACGAGCCGAGAAATGCTGGATTGTTTTTCTTTGAAATTTTCTATGCCCCGATCACACAGATTCCTAGACCTTCCAACAACATGCTGCGTTGCATGTGGTGACTGGATCTCTTCATCAAAGCAACTATCAAATGCACCTGTGATTAAAATAAGACAATGATAAGTCAGCAGCTCTACAAAACCAGATCCAAACAGGAGTGTCACTGCACTACATTTAAACCTATTCTTGAGTTTGCTCTTTGTCTTGCTATAAACATACAGACCAGACACTGGGCCTCTGACTATGAAGAAGTGGGATGGGGTGGGCCAGGAATGCTCCACTGAGCATTCTCCAGGTAAGGTAAGTACAGAGGGAATGAGATACAATGGGTTTACTTTCAGGTAACCATATTTATTTATTTATCCATTGTCACTCAGTCCCCTTGATCCCCTTGGCTTTGAGGGGTAAGCAGCACTACCTGTTAGCAACAGCTGCATGGATGTTGTCTTAGAGGGCACCACTCCAGTTCTAGTCATGACATTGACAGCACTCTCTGCGGAAACCCGAGAAGTGCCTGCAGCTAGTATGTGTGCACTCCAGAGTGGTGTTTTGTACAGTCACAATCTGCTGAATCATAAATTTCCAGTTCTCTGCTGAGCAGAGGAAAAACTCTAGCCCTTGTGTCCCTGAGAACGTGCTCTTGTGTAACTAGCACTAACCTACCCTGCAGTGCAAGCTTTTCTGCCCAAACACTCTGACAATCCTTATATTTAAGTCCCATGTTAGGAAAACCTACTGGGCTGCCGTCATGCCCATAGCTGCTTTTGGCAACATAGCATGCTCCAGGCACACGTTATGGAATGAAAGTCTTGCTGCCACAGGATGAGCCTGGTACATTAAACCATGCTTAAGGAAGGTGAGACACATAACTGTCTCCTCTCTTCTTTCAAGAAAGACTAGCAGTCCTGAAACATCTTCATTATTATGTGCCTCCCCATGGTTTCAAAATGAAAAGGTGCCCTACTGGGTCTAAGGCAGTTGGAAATACTAGAGGATGCAAACACAAAACGGAGGAGAGCCATGCTTGGCCATTTCAGGAAATCACACAGCAAGGCTACTGTTATGATCTGTATGACACTGAAGCCTTCTTACTATGGAACTATCAGTTTCGGCATCCCAACTGGAATGTGGACAGTATATGTTAAGGAAAAGTGAGGGTAACTGGCACTCACCTGAAGACAGAGCAGGGCTGCCATACATCCAGTTCCATACCCAGCTGGGATCTGTGGAGTCTATCTCCCATCGAGGGTTTGAACATATGGTCCACATTTGATAAGGGAGTGGACTTGCAACTACATTGGCAGTGTGCTGCAATTAGGGCACAGAGAGTGTCTGGGCCATGTTCCATTCTATGTTCCATACCTGATTTGCAGGGTATCTGCCATGGGTAGAATTTATCTGGCTTGCTGCCACTCAACAGCACAGGTCACTGGCACCTAGGGCTTGATATTCTTATCACATGGAGACGATCACAATTCTCTAGACAGCAGAAGGCCAGCTCACCATTGTAAGTCCTTGGGATACAACTTTGTCACCCCTTCACCTTGGCCTCTGCACCTAGCCAGAGTGCAGGGCCAGCTGCATCCCTGCAGTGGAGAACAATCCCTTTGTGTGCCAGCACCCACTCCGTGCCTCTAGTACCATCTTTCCAGAAAGAGCTGGGAATCAAAGAGGTTACCAGGCTGGAAGATCAGTGGTCTTGTTTCAATCCTAGAACAATTTGCTCTGGTAAGCATTTCAGTGGCTGGTCAGCTCTAGATGATGTTCACCTATTTCCAACCTGGTATGAATCAGTAACTTTTCTGTTCTTAGAGGGGCCAGAGGGCAGACTTACAGGGTATTAGGGACTAAGCTCCCAGCCATACTAAAGTGCTAAGTGCTATAATGAAAATCCTCATTCTTCCAGAAAACAGAGGAGCTCCGAGCAGCTTCCTCAAGCTTTTACATCAGCAGCCAAACATCTGTCATTTTCCCCAACAATGGCAAAGAGAAATGATGGTACTATCAAAAACACTGGTGAGTCTGGCCACATCAGACTCACCAATTATAGCTCTTGTATAATCTACAGATGCATGAAACACTGGAGAAAAAGGACTTTTAGATTGTCTACCACCTTGTGGTACCACTTTCCGGTATCAGAGATCACAAAGTAGGCCACTGTTCAGGCTGTCATTCAAATGCCAGTCTCTAGGCATGAAGATTTTAGATCTGGCTGTCTAGATCCTCTTGTCCAGCAGAACTGCAAACACACCATGAATCCTGAGAAGCTTATGATCTGTCATATTTTAAAACAGGTTCTACATGGTGTAATTTCCTCCAAAACAGAAATGGTAACTCATCTGTTGTACCTCTTCCTATTGGATGGGAGGATGTTGCTTTGATAACAACATTAAAATGCCTAATTTGCTTCCACAGGTAGAAAAGTCATCAGTGAGCTACCTACGGATAAAAGCAATACAGATGCAAATGGATGGATAGCTCTAGGAGACTTAACCCTGTTCTTTAAAGATGTACATTCCAAAATGGCCTTTCTTCAAAATTAACTCAATCCTCTCTCAAGTCCTACAACAAGGCCATACAGAACAGTATTTTCTATTTTAAATCCAAGATTTTTAAAGCGATGGTGAAGGCCCTCAAAGGTCATCTGCTTCACAGCTTTTAAATAGCACTAGGGAAAAGTGTCAATCTTGACTAATTACAGTGGCTGTACACTGACTGACAGCATTAAGATCTTTAGCACATTGGCACCTGACTAGGCATTCTTCTGAACAGCCTGTAGGAAGTCTGAACTACTTCTTTCCTACATCAATACTTGTACTATCCTTGACTAGAACTCACTCAAAAGCTAGCTTGAGCTAGTCAGGGTCAATAGGTACAGAAAACAACCAACCAACTTGGGAGTAGGAGTACCTGTTCAGTAAGAAGGGCCCTGCTACATTAGCAATTTGGAACACTATTAATCTGGTAGAGAAGAAGCTTTTTGTGCTGGGAATCCTCTTCAAAAACTACTAGAATCAAAATTCATTGGTAGAGAAAGGATCTGCTATATTAACCAAACATGTGATAAATCAATACTTCTTGTAATTTCACCTGAGGTCCAGACAGAGAATATAATTGCATGAATACTTGACACAGAGTCTAAAACATGTTCTCTTCTAAGATCTCCAGTAGCTGGGAGGAGTTTTGTCTTTATTAACAGATCCTTTGAAAAATTAAAAGACAACTTACATAATCTTTCCAACAGGAATTCGAGATTCCAGAGAGACAAATGCATCAAAGTGTTTTATTGTAAATTTACAATAATTAGTCTCTCTATTTCAAACAAATAAAAGTGGATACCAAAATAAAGTGTTTTCAATACCATGCTCATAACTCCAAATGCCCAGGTATCTTCTCAATGCAGAGCTCAATGAAGGGAAAAATGAAGTGTAAGTCCTGCTGCTACTAATGGAAAATGTCGTTAGAGGTTATGGAGGGCTTTTCCTAGATAATTTCATGTGGGACATAGGACTAACACACAGATAGCCACTATCAACAGGTGGGTTAGGAACAAGCTTCTACTTTTCACTGCAGAACAACTGAGGCAACAGAACCTCTTGAGAAGAGGAAAATATTATTCGGCCTTAAGCCTGAACACAGCCTACTGTATTCAAAAGATATAAAAAGTTACCAGTCTTTATGTTAGTTGTAATAAAATCCTTGTCAACATACAGAATTGCTGTTGTGCAAGTTAAACAGAAATCAGTCTGACTCATAGCCCAACTCCGACTTAAAGACTGTTGTAATTTCATCGTTTCTCCAGTTTTTTGTACTTGGCTTCTGCAGAAGGAAAAATAACATTTTAGGACTGGATAGGTAAAAGCTTTGAATTCTGTAAGCTGCTATACATCTTAAAATTCAAGTTAATTTACAGTATTGCTCAGAGTAATATTCTACTAAAACACTTAGGCAAATATAATTGTACAATAAAATTTTTAAGAACCAGGTACTTAAGTCAGACTACCAATATTAATTTAAGCCAAGAGGACTTGGGTGCAGAGTGGAACTTTATGAATCCTTTTATTTGCAGGATTAAACACCTGTCTTTAATATTTGGGTCAGTGCATATTGTAAAAGAGAAATCAAGCCTCACTAATAATACTTGTACTGGTCCACCTCCATATAACTTGTATTAATCTTTTTCCCAATGCTTATCACTTCACATACAATGCTCACTGCTCAAAAGCAGCACAGGCAACTCTGCAACTCAGATTTGTTAAACAGAGGAGGAGCTTACTTTGTTTCTTTATATCCCCTTGCAAGGGACTATGCTGCTAGGTAATAGACAGCATAGTAGAACGTAGAAGACAATAGTTACCAAGTTTTTTGGAATATGCATCCAATTTATAAGCTGCCTGCTCCAGAGCTGCAACCTGTTCTTCAATTAGGTTGATTTGTTCCAGATATGGTTGAAGAGCAGCATCTTAAAAAAGCAGAAAAATCGTATCTGTCAGTTCTCAGTAATTCACTTCCAAGAAACAGTTCACACTTGAAACACAAGAATTTCTCGTTACATTCTTCAGATAGAACACCTTAAAAGCTCCTTTCTTGCCCTGCCCCAAAATCAAGTGGTGATCCTGACAGCCATATTCCAGGAAAGTATGAAATATTTAAGCGTACTGGCTAGACTCGACACAAGTAACAATACAATGTGAGTCAAAATAAGTGTTATTTCCTATCAGATCCAAAATTTGGGGTCAAACAGGACATAAATTCAGATGTGGTTTTGCTTATGCTAGTCTACATAGTCTATAGCTGTAAAGAAATATACAAGATTGACATTGTGTAGCAGCATGTCTATTTCAGTGAGTTTCCTTTCCTTCAGCACCTAATGGAGCGTGAACTATCTGACTCTTAGATGCTTTATTTCCCAACCAAGCATACCACCATTCATTATACCCCTACCTTATTTGGTTTACTTACATTTTTGATTTAAATCCTTCAGATTTCTACTGATGTTTATAGCAATATCTTTCATTTCTAGGTACTTCAAGCTAGTCAGCTTATTCATGTTTTCCAAGAGTTTGTAGTCTTCACTGGTAGCTTAAAAAGAAGAGAGTTTATTTTAATTAAAAGCTGATGCGGTGCGAATTGGGTGCAGACTCTTCAGGAGGACAAGAGATTTCAAACCAATAGCTAAATGTAACAAAGAATAGTTTAGATGGTAATACAGGTATTAGTATAATGCTCTGGAAAAAGAAAGATGATATTTTGTGAATTGCAAAAATCAACTGGACCGATGAATACCTATTTACTTGCAAATATTTTTTGAGAGAAAAAATGACTAATTCCTCACATTTCTACTCTTATTCTGTCAGTTTAACACTTATGTTTACAAACTTAATAGCACAAACCCAGACTGGTAATCTGTACCATATCCCCTTCAAGTCCATGCAAATCAGCAGTGCTGTGGAGTGCTTTCAAAATTACAGCCTATGGAATCCACTAACTTGTTGAGCAGTTTACTTTGCTCCAGCTAATGTTGCACAGCAGTTTATTCTAAAGCATGAATGTCAGAAAACGTGTATGATCCTTGCTCTCACTCAGAAACAAAATAGCTGCATATGTTCCACTCTCAATTGTGCTTTCTCTTCCAGTCCTTCTTATCCTAGACCCCTTTTGTTTGTTTGTTTTTCCATGCACAAGCTTCTGCAAGACTAAAAATAAATTGGTTTTAAGTTGCTGATATCATACTGAATTCTTTAAAAAAATATTTGTGCTATTCTGTGACTTCATTAACATGACTAATCTCAGTGTTGTTAGTAGTCTAGCAACATGCCAGACTTGAACTGCCAGTCTTGCTAGATATTATCTAAACAGGTATAGTTTAGACAAACTATACAACAGATTTCTTTAAAAGAAAATTAAAAGAAACAAAATATTACAGGTCAGTATTGCAGTGCCTTACCTGTCAGTTCACCCGTTAAATAAGTGGCCATTTTGTTGAACATGTCTTTACAGAGTTCATTGATGTCTGCCTCTGCTGGTTCCTTTGCTTCCTCTGCTGTTTCAACAGCGGGATCCTCTAATCAGGGTACAGACATTACAGGGTTAGGGGAAAGTTAGCAGGTACAGAAACACATCATAAAGAATAAAGGGTCCCATTTTTTTCCCCTTCAAATTGACTATATCTGCTTTCTATATTAGTTGTCTACTTTAAACTAAGGGGTAACAAACCTAGGCAGTTTCCTTATAGTAGCATCAAGATTATTTTAAAATAACACTTTAGGGAGCAGTTAAGGGGCAGGCACCTGGCCTGACTGCACTTGCAAATTGCAGCCCCCTCCGATGCTAAGACCACAGGAAAGAAATTTGGGGAGAACTTTTGAGTGATTTTGTGCACAATGCTACTGATGTTTATTTCTAGTCCCCGATTCCAAACAGGACAGCCCTCCAGTGCATTTCACAGAATCACATAATCAATGTTAGGGATTGGAAGGGACCTCAAAAGATCATCTAGTCCAATCCCCCTGCCAGAGCAGGAACCTAAATGAGATCACACAGGAAGGCGTCCAGGCGGGTCTTGAATGTCTCCAGAGAAGGAGACTCCACAACCTCCCTGGGCACCCTGTTCCAGTGCTCTGTCACCCTCACCGTAAAGAAGTTTATTCTCAAGTTTAAGTGGAACCTCCTGTGTTCCAGCTCACACCCATTGCTCCTTGTCCTACCATTGG